CCCAGGCTGGAGTGCAATGGCACGATCTCGGCTCACCGGCAACCTCCGCCTCCTGGGTTCACGCAATTCTCCTGCCTCAGCCTCCCGAGTAGCTGGGACTACAGGCGTGCACCACCATGCCCAGCTAATTTTTGTATTTTTAGTAGAGATGGGGTTTCACCATGTTGACCAGGATAGTCTCGATCTCTTGACCTCGTGACCCACCCGCCTCAGCCTCCCAAAGTGCTGGGATTACAGGCTTGAGCCACCGTGCCCGGCGAAAGCTCAGTTTTTCTATAGAAATCTGCGTAGCTGGGAAACTGAAAAATCCGTTAAGTCCAGAATGAGGTTGTGTATGTTGCTCTCAGGTGTCTGCGGGAGAGTACTTGCCGGCGGCCAATTTTTATACTAAGTTCAAATCTCTAGATTTCCCCTGTGATACTATTAAAAGATTTGAACTCTGTGGGGCACAAGCTGGGCTTTGATTTCTTTCAGACTTTTCCCCCTCCCCCACTGAGAACCACTAGAGTCAAATCCTTGCTGTGTCCCCAGGCAATGTTTACAAGATCCTCTTTCATGGGAACTACAACCTTAAGGTTCTGAATCATGCAAGGGAGGTCTTGGGGTTACCTCTTTACCTCAAGCAGGCCTTATGCCTCTGATTCTATCCCAGCATAAAGGTTAATCCCCACGTCCCTCCAACTAAAGTTGGGAACTCATCCTTGCCTTTTTTCCTCTTGGGAACAGGATTCCCAGGCTGGGTGCGATGGCTCACGCCTGCAATCACAACACTTTGGGAGGCCAAGGCAGGGAGATCACCTGAAGTCAGGAGTTCAAGACTGGCCTGGCCAACGTGGCGAAGTCCTGTCTCTACTAAAAATACAAAATTAGCTGGCCATGGTGGTGTGTGCTTGTAATCCAGCTACTCAGGAGACTGAGGCAGGAGAATCGCTTGAACCCGTGAGGTGGTTACAGTGAGCCAAGACTGCGCCATGGCACTCCAGCTTGCGCAACAAGAGTGAAACTCCATTTCAAAAAACAAAAAAACAAGATTCCCACAGGGTGAAGTGTTCTCTGCCTGAATCCATTTTATCTGCAAGGCCATTTTGTCTGGGATGTTTATGTATCTTTTTAAACTGAAATTTTGCTCCAGTTTCTTTTTGATGCAATCTTGTCAGGTTTTAGTATCAGAGTTATACTCATCTTCTGTAAAATGAGTTTGAAAACATTTCCAACACAGTGATAACCTGAGACAGTCAGCCTATTATTACATAAGTCAAGAAACACCCCATGGGTGTCAGTCCTGCACCCAGGAGAGCACCCTCTCCTGTTCTCAAACAGGAGAGCAGGCCAAAGTTCTCCTCCTGAGCAAGGGATGGGGAGTAAGTGGAACACCACATCTTACCACGTTACATATTTCAACCCCACTTACGGGGCTGTTCTTGATATTACCTTTCAGAGCACAAGGATTATTAGGTATTTAAAAGTAAGAAAAAACTTGCCTAATAAAGTTAACTGGACCTGCACATATTTTGGAGAACTTATTTAACTACTTTAACAATGTTTTAAATGGTTACTGCTTATTTAGGCTTTCTATTCTTCAATTCTAATTTACATTTTCTAAGACAGTCATCTGTTCCAATGAGATTTCCCAGTATATCACAATTACCTATATATTTCCCTCTAAAGCTGTTTTATATCGTTCTTGGGCTTGCAGCTAGCACTCTTATTTTATGCTGTCTGGTTTTTATGCCTCATTCGCAATTCTTTTGACTTATCTTTTTTTTTTTTTTTTTTTTTTTGAGATAGGGTCTCACTCTGTTGCCCAGGCTGGAGTGCAGTGGTACAATCACATCACAGTTCACTACAGCCTCAACCTCCCAGGCTCAGGTGAACCTCCCACCTCAGCCTCCTTGGTACTTGGCACTGAAGGAGCACACCACCACGCCTGGCTAATTTTTGCATTTTTTGTAGAACTGGGGTTTCGCCATGTTGCCCAGGCTGGTCTCAAAATGCTACGCCCAAGGGATCCACTCTGTCTCAGGCTCCCAGAATGCTGAGATTATAGCTGTAAGGCACAGTGCCCAGGCTGACTTGTCTTTTTTTTTTTTTTTTTTTTTTTTTTCAGACGGAGTTTTGCTCTTGTTACCCAGGCTGGAGTGCAATGGCGCGTTCTCGGCTCACCGCAACCTCCGCCTCCTGGGTTCAGGCAATTCTTCTGCCTCAGCCTCCTGAGTAGCTGGGATTACAGGCACGCACCACCATGCCCAGCTAATTTTTTGTATTTTTAGTAGAGACGGGGTTTCACCACGTTGACCAGGATGGTCTCGATCTCTCGACCTCGTGATCCGCCCGCCTCGGCCTCCCAAAGTGCTGGGATTACAAGCTTGAGCCACCGCGCCCAGCCGACTTGTCTTTTTCTACATGGACTACATTTATTCTCCATCCTCACCCTTTATTTGGAATTTATTCAGCATTCAGATTGGTTTAATTAATACTATCACTTATATTCCCTGTTTGATACTCAAAACTAAATAGCTCTGTTTTTCAACAACAAAATTTCAAAGTGTCTGTTGAGTGTAAGATGAGGATTTTTAGCTTGCTTTTCCTTTCCTCGACCATTTCCAATTCCCAGGCATAATGATAGTTTATTACATATCTACACTCTTCAAAACTATTTGGACATTTGTTTGCTTTATAGCTGTGATTCCTTTGACTTGCCAGTTAATGATATTTAATTGCACCTTCCTTTTATAACTTCCCTCATTGTTTTTATTGTCTTTTATTTTTTTTGAGACGATGTCTTGCAAGCTTACTGCAGCCTCTACTTCCTAGGTTCAAGCGATTCTTTCTCCTGCCTCAGCCTCCTGAGTAGCTGGGATTACAGGTACCCACTACCATGCTTGGCTAATTTTTGTATTTTTAGTAGAGACGGGGTTTCACCATATTGGCCAGGCTGGTATCGAACTCCTGACCTCAGGTGATCTGCCTGCCTTGGCCTCCCAAAGTGCTAGGATTATAGGCATGAGCCACTGCGTCCAGCCTTTAATGTTTCATTTTTTACCTTTATGAAAGGAATGTTCTGGCCAGTAGGAATAGACCTTGGGTGTAGGTCATGTGGGTGGTTTCTAGGGAAGATGCCATTTCTTACATTCCAGGATCCAGTGCCCTCCTATTTGCGCATTTCTATTGCTTGCATTATTTATTCTATTGTTAGGAATTGCAATCACTAGAATGCTAAGAAGAAATCATGGTCTTTGGCAGGGCCACGTCTGTGGCCACTTCACATAGCAGTTTCCTCAAAGAGTGCTGTGGCCTGTCCACTTTCTAGTTGGCAAAGATCCCAAGTTCTTAGTACTGATTGATTCATAGAGAGCAGGGATAGAAATCTACCTTCTCCCTGCTACTCCTTGAAAACAAGTCTTTTATATGTCATTCCTTTTGTACTGTGTCTGGCACATGGCTGTCACTCGATGCTTATTAATGAATGAGTACATTAATGTCAATTCGGCCTCAAACAAATCCAACATGTATCCATGACTCTACAGTCCATCATTCCTGCTCTAGCTCAGGTCATTATAGTCCGAGCTTTTCTTCCTTCTTTCTCCACACTACAGATCTTTGAGTTTTCCTTAAGAGACCTGATCATAAACCACCCTTTCTTAAAAATTACCAATCGCTCTCTAATGCCAAACTCTTTAAAGAATGACTAATTTTCTAGCTCCATCTCGTTTTATAAACTTTCCACTTAAGGCTGGTCCCTGAACAGGTCCTCATATTCACAGCTGTGTACTTTTCCAATCCCACTCCCCCATGTACTTTTGAGTACCCTTTCTCACACATCTTGTGAAATTTCACACCCCAAACCCTCAAAACGTCACTTCCTCTCTGACTTCCTGACCCCACAGCAAGTACTCCTTTACTCTGTCCCCATAGTATTTTCAACATAACCTACAGAATTTAGTAAATTTAATCGCACTTCAATTGTTTACTTCCACTTTAGACTTAAGAATTCCTTAGAGCAAATAATTCATCTTTTCATACCAAACTATTATAATGCTTGGTACTTAATAGTAGTACCGAGCACTACATGACCTTCATAGGTGTTCAAAAAGCTTAAATTCAATTTCTAGCACTAGACAATATAGCACTCTACAGTAAATTGGAAGCAAATTACAGCCTTTCTGCTAGGAAATGTATTCTGACTTAGTAAAACAATCTCTCCCCAGAGAACCACCCCCATACACTTAATTTTGCATTCATTTCAGGGTGTTCATGAATGCCAATAACCAAATTCCACCCCCTCAACAAACACTGTGGCTGTAAATTGAGATTCTCTTCACACAAATAGGATATTTGGCATGGTAGAAGATCAGGCTGTGGCTACAAACATCAAGTATTAAAACCAGCTCCTACACTAAGCATGATATTTAAGCTCCAAGACTCAAATTCCAAATTTTTAAGTGTGGTGAATACCTATCAACTTTGCTAGTTTTGCTTTATTGAAAACTGAAAAAGTATCCAGTGCAATGTAGCCATTAAAGTGTATTTTTAACCACAACTTGTATCACGCAATTGGCATGGAATATCCTGTCACTATCTCATCAAAGTGAGGTAATGCATTCGTCATTTGCCACTTGCAAATGAAACATGAAAGACAGTATTCATTGTTCAAATACTTGCAATATGGGGGCTCTTTGTATTTAAAAATAAAATTTGAATTTTTAAACTTTTACATCGTCCTTTTTCAATTCATTCATATTAGTATTTTAACTTAAGTGTTCTATCTTATAGTAGTAAGATTGTTGGCTTTCTTTTCACAAAAGTGTACCAGTGGGTTCATGGCACTCAGATAACCTTAATTCACTTTTTGTAAATACACCTATCAGACTGCACCCGATATATAGCAATCAATTAAGTTTTACATTAATGGTTATTAACTTCAGAATCTAAAATTAATTATAAACAACTACCTCCCAGCCTAAACTATATAAAGCAATACAATGAAAAGCAGATTTTGGTTTTCTCCAGATATTTAATGCAAGATGCAATGTAGCCATATTCCATGAAACGTGGTTACCAGTAGGGGAGTTGTAGCCCTACCGAATCAAAGTATTACAATACAGCTGAAAGCTTTATATAGACGTATTTCTGTTCTTACTTGCACTAATGTAGACAGTTTGATAGATAAGCTTGTCTCTTGTGCTTTTTCTACTTTGGGGAGTTACATACTTTAGATGAGACACAAAGAAACTCTACTGGTTTGAGTTCTAAGTTTTACTTTTACTATAGACCTTTTTTTTCCCCCAGTTTAGATGGGAAGAGCCAGGCTTTGGTATAAATAACTTACTTCCACAACAATATTTAAAGGGCATCGTTAGTGTTCACTGTCAGTTGCGTAGCCTTTTGGTAAGGGGGTGGCTAGAGCCTCTTTACTCTCAGTAAGTGCCCTGGGCTGATGGATAAACACACTAAATTTAACACCCTGGTTGTTTGCAGCTCTGACAAAACCACTATTAGCAGTCATTGTGATGGCTTTTAGAGTGTCTCCTGTCCCAAAAATTGTTAATGAGCGGCTATTAATTTTTGAACTGGCCACTAGTCTCAAGGCACGCTCAGAAGGCTGGTCTGGTACTACATTAATTCGCTTAATTAACATAGTGGCTCGCTCTCTCTCCCCAGGTCCTCCTAAGGTATCTAAAATAGACTGAAAGTCCTTGACAGCAGATTCACAAGCAAACAACTCCTTGTCCTTCATAAAGGCCTCCAGCTGAGGTAGAACCTGCTCTTTCCTCTCTTGCTCTGCTTGTTCTGTGAGCACTTTTTCTTTGAAAATAAAGTGGCAGCCTCCATAGCTGAGGGCAGATACATATGTGATTAAAGTAGTAATGTCCAGATTTACTCTTCTGCACACATCAACCTTAATTTCTGTTGGAAACGCAACACTTGCTAGTATATTTTCTCGATCTACTCTGGTCACCTGCAAAAGTTCAGGGCCCTCATCATCTGATTCACTCTCACTGAGCTGGAGCTCTTCAGGGTGATCTAACAGAGAGTTGACTGCTACTATGTCTCCTCTCACAGATATGCCCATTTCTTTCAGCTTCTCTGCCATGGGACTAGAGACACTGTTGTAAAATGCAAAGATGATGTGAGGGTTGCTATATTGCACGGGCTGCTGGTGACTGGCCTGGAGGAAGTCTTCCGCCTGCTCAATGATGCTTTTGTCACCATACTGGCCCCTGCCCAGCCAGATGTTATGAAGAGCTTCAGCCTTCCGGCCAATGGCTTTCACCCAAGTATGACCACCATTTGCAACTACATCTACCACAAGGGTCTGCTTTTCTCCCAAGGTATCCGTGTAACCAAAGACGTGAAGAACACTAACAACTTCTTCCAGGTTTTCTGCTGATTCCACAATGGCTCTCAGGTGTGTTAGGTTAGTGCTCTGTAAATGAGATTCTTTAATAGCTACTTTCCCAGCTTCTACTTTCTGTAAGAATTTTAATTCTGCCTTCAATTTGCTGCACAGTTTTGCACCTCCTTCTATGCCACCTTTTCTTGATCTAGAAAGTGATTCTGCTCTCTTGATCAGTTCCTTGGCTATGGCGATTCGTTCACAGAGCATGGAATGTGCAGACATGCTGTCAGCATTATTCCTTTCCTACGGAAAGAAACAAGGCAAGTTTGAGTAGTCTCCTAAAATGATGACAATCAATTCTTCACTGATGATTAAAAACTTCAATCTAGCAAGACAGCTTACGGAGGCTGAGTCTAGAACCCGGGCTTGCGTATGTCTCATTTTGCTGTGACTCTCACCTCTGACGGCTAAGGAAAGGGTGGCAGCCATACTTTTGAACTCTTCTTCAGGTATGTCTGACACACTTTAGACCTTCATTTCTTCAGCTTGAAAGCCATGGGGACACGGCATGTCCTAGGTTAGGATAAAATGCAAGATTTGGGCAATCTGCTATACAAATAGTTCCTTTATGTCTATCAGCAGCCTAACTGCTGAGAAATTTTAATAGAAGGCTTGGAAAGTCAAGGTAAAAATGCTGAGAACAAAAATACACACAAACTGTCCAAACCAAGTGTCTGTCCTAAACTGAGCACTTCAGCCTCCCTAACCTTTTACTCCTTCCCGAGTTGGTCTCCTTTAACCGGTTGCCTCATGATTTTCCCCCAGGCTTGGGGGCTTGGGGTACTTAAGACCAAAAAACAAAAAAAAAACAAAAAACAAACAAACAAAAAAAACATTGCCTCACTTCTGCATTTGACGTCAACCCAGACAATTTTAAAAGACCGAAGACGACCACCAACTTGCGTCCCACTCCCACTCCCACTCCAACTCCGAAGGAAAAGCCCGAAGATGAAACTAAACTCCAAGCTGCACCCCGCGGCGGCCGTGCAGGCGCCCACAGCGCAGGTCGCCGGGTGGGCGGGCCAGAGGCCGGCGGGGCCTTCCCGGTGGGCTGCGGGCTCCAGGCCCTGCCAAGCCATCTGCACCGCCGGGCCCTGACTGGAGGGGCCGGGCGAAAAGCCCCCGCGGCTGGCGCCGCGACTCACTCTCGTGCGCGGCCGACCCCATTCCCACCCGCCCGGCCCGGCCCGGCCCGGCCCAACCCCCTCTAGCCTCACAAGCGGCGCCCCGCTCCCAGCCTCCCCGCCTCGCTCCCCGGCTCCTCACCGGCAGCGCCCAGAACCGCGAGCGCGAGCGCGAGCACGCAAGCGCGTGCACCTAGAGGCCAGGACCCGCCGGGAAACCTCAACCGGGCAGCCCCCACCCCGCTCGAACGCCGAGGCGGCTCCACCCGCGCGAGCCCCGCTGCTTCGAGCGCGTCTTGCGTCACGTGGTTCCGGGCCGAGTGACGCCAAACCTGAGATTCCCAAGCGGCAGCGCGGCCTCCAGAGCTGGTTGACGCTGGCGCGACGTCCATGTTTGTTGAGGGCACCTGGCTTATCCCGCTTGCGCCGTCGGGTGAGCCTGGAAGTGCTCACCCACCTGGCTCCAGGAAGAAGCAGGAACGTAGCTCGCAGGCTGGGTTCTCACTCGCACTGGGGGCGTTGGCCACTGGATCGCAACCGGGTCCTAGGCATTTTGGGGCTCATTTTAGCAGAAGAAACACGCTGGAGAAGCTTGTCATTGTTGACAGCTGAGAAGTACTGCCGCTGGGACTTCTGCCTCCGAACCAAAGCACTTCCACTGCATTGTCCTGGGCCCTCCACACAACGTGTACTGTTTTTCTGAAGAGGAGAAATGATTGCATAGCTTCCTAGGAGCTGGGATACTCATGTTAGTCTAGTAGAGTGTCCAAAGTCACCCAGAAAGATTAGGGCTATAATAAAGTAAAGCTAATTTAAAATATTAAAGAAGACTTTCAGTTGTAATTAATCCTGTGTATCCTGCTCCTTGTCCAAATCTTAAATAACAGTAAAGCAATGACAAAGGAAATAAACCCACAAAGACAGAACAAGAGATGACTGCAGACAGGTTCTACCAACATTTTTGGAGGACTAGGGCAGTAACTTATTCAGTCCTTAAAACGTGGCAGATACTGTTCTAAGTGTTTTACACATTATTCAATCCTCTAAACAGCCTAAAAGGTGGATATTAAGTATATTTTACAGATAAGTGAGCCATAGAGAGGTTACCTCCTGACACCCTCTCTGCAGATGGAGGTGTCAGGAGAGCTGAGCAAACTGCCTATAGAAGGGGATATATAGCCAGTGATTCACAAAGCAGGACCCCAGAAGGCTTCAGGTGCCTTGTAGGTAGAAAGAAGGGGAGGCAGGATTGAAAATGTAAATTGTTCAGACAAAGGCCTAGTTTAAGAAGCTGAAGATAGGGCATCAGAGGGATTCCAGACACAAAGCCTAACGAAGTATGAGAGGTGCCATCATCAAGTTTTCCTACTGAATAATGCAATGCCAGTATCCACTTCTCCGCCCCTCCCATAATGAAAGCACCCCTCTACCACTCCCTAACACCCTCTCCCCAAAACGCTATTTTTCTCTTAAGAAATGAGTAGATGAGAGACCCTAGAGAAATGTCTTGGAGATACCAACATTCTGCATCTCCCTGGTGTGAGCCTCACAAACACAGCATTTTCCAACATTTTTGTTTGGAATTTGAAGGAAATGGAAAACAGAACAAAATGGTCTCAAAAAGTATTCTATAACTAACATCTTCTAATAGAAGATATTTCGGCTACGAAACAAGAGGATTTCTTTTTTTAAGGGAAGACAGCAGAGCACAGGAAATGGTTCTTCTATAGTAAAAATTATATCCCAAATTTTAAAGCATCAATGTAAGAGTTGGAAAAATTTAGAAAGTAGAAATAGATGAAAAATGAGCAAAAACGAAAGGATTCAATATCCAGTTAACAGGAGTTTAGAAACAAAAACAAAGAAAACGAAGAGAAAAATTTTCAAAAACTTAATACTAGGAAATTTACCAAACAGTTTGTTTTTCACAGCGCAAAGGGGCCTACTGAGTGCTCACCACAATGACTATTAAGAAACTCACACAAAGGAACATGGTTGTAAAGTTTCAAAACACAGCAGGTAAGAGAAAAACTAAGAGCTGCAGAGGGGAAAACTTACAAAGGATTTGGCATCACGTACACAGTAGTATCAGGCTTCCCATCAGCAACACTGGAATTTAGGAGCAATGCTTTCAAAACGTGGAGATAAAATTTCTAACTTAGAATTTTTTACCCAACCAATTCAGAGAGAAAGCAATAATAATAAGGATAGTTTCAAACAAGCACGTAGCCTGGATTGGAACAGGAAGTCAGGGTTCTACTAGAAACTTCTCTGAGGTGTGGGGGAGAGAACTGTTACAGACTGCCTAATATCTTGTGAGATAAACAGTATGCAGAGGGTGTTTTCTCTGAAAACAAAGTAACCAAAAAAGGGAGCTGGGTGCCCCCATGGCTCATTTGATTACAAGTGTTGGGATTACTCAACACTTTGTGAGGCCAGCTTGGAAGGACTGCTTGAGCACAAGTTCAAAACCAGCCTGGGCAACGTAGTGAGATCTGTCTCCACAAAAAAAATAGGATTAGCTGGGCATGGTAGCTGACATCTGTATCCCCACCTACTGCAATGACTGGGCTGGGAGGATCATTTGAGCCCAGGAGCTCAAGGCTACAGTGAACTGATTTGTGCCACCTCACACCTCACTCTAGCCTGGGCAACAGAGCGAGACAGTCTCAAAAATTAAAAAAAGCAGTATCATCCCCCAGGAATGTTGTTTAGGAATGTAATAGTAGTATACCGTCGTAAGAAAAACCCTCATCTTGCACAATGGAAAGTATGGCAGCTCAACTCCAGAAATCCAAGAAAAAGGCATATAATCCTATTTTGAAATATGGAGGCAAGTACCTGGTGAAATACCTTAAAAAGTCAAAAGTGATTTTCAGGGAGAACTCACGTGTTACTTAACTTTTTAAATATGCTCATGCTTAAGTTATCAATTAATTGGCAGCAGACACTGCCAGGTCCGTAAATTCTTTGAGAACAGGGTGGAAGGAAGAGCTCTAAATTGAAGGAACTGAGGCAATGTGACTTTCATAGAGAACCACCAAGATTGGTTTTCAGAAAATTAGGATTCTAATCCAAGGGAACTCTCAACTCCTATACTCTTGGGCAATTCACTGAACATCAACTTGCTCCTCTTTGCAGTGGGGGAGCTCAGAGAGCTTGCCTACACCGGTGATGAGACTCCTGATAAAAAGGTGAGGTAAGTACCAAGAGTTGGCAGTTTCATGCTATGAAATAAATTGAGCAATAAAAACCCTTCAATGTTCCCTTATCACTACTTGATGCCTGAGAGGCTGTGTAAGGTAATTATCTCAAGGTTGGGTTGCTTTTTCTCCTCCCCCATAGGGATGCTTGAGTGTATCAGCACTCAGTAATTATAAAGCTCTGTATTAGTCTTCTTTATTCCCCCTTTCAGCTGCCTCCAGTCCCCATGTATCTGAATTTTAAACATCTCCATGTTTCATTGCCAGTAACTGCTTTGCAAATTTAAATTCATGGTTCAGTAAGGAACTCGGGAGAAGAACAAATGGAGTTAAAATGTTTTAAGGGTGAAAACCACAAAAATGAAAAGATACAAAATGAACCAAAAGAAGGGAGAGGCTATGAACATTAAGAACATTATGACACTTAAGCCAAAATCTACAGGCTGGAAATCGTTCAAGAGTTTTGGAATGTTTAGGGATGCAGTGGGTTGCTACATCAAAGAACTCTTTCCCAAGAACTAGAACAAAAGAACTTAATTTTAAGGCCCATGGAAAAAATAAACAGAACAAAGCGAGAAGTGTTGTAGGCAGCTTCAACTGGAACTGGGTATTTTGCATTTAATGAGGGCAAGAGGCAGAAAACAGAACCTGGATCAAATCTGATTCAGCTGATTTTTCCTCCCTTTATTCTTTAGGACTAATTCTGATGGCACACAATAAAAACCTACATGTTTTCCTTACATCTTAAATATTACATGCCTTTAATTTTCCCTTCTTTGTAAAATTTTGACATTCCTTTGGTTTTTTGATACTGGACATTACAGAAAGACTATACAAATTTAACGGCAGCTAAACAAGTACTTAACTATTAACCATGCCAGGCTTTAATTTGTGTTATCAAATTCAGTCCTTAGAAAACCCTGAGATAAGGTTGGACAGAGATGTTCATGCCTGTAATCCCAGTACTTTCAGAGGCCGAGGCAGGTAAATCGCTTAAGCCTAGGAGGTGGAGACTAGTCTGGGCAACATGGTGAAACCCCATGTCTACTAAAAATACAAATATTAGCCAGACGCGGCGGTACAAACCTGTAGTCCCAGCTACTCAGGGGGCTGAGGTAAAAGGATAGATCACCTAAGCCGGCCTGGATGAGGCTGCAGTGAGCCAAGATCACACCACTGCACTCCCATCTGGGTGACACAGCAAGACTGTCTCAAAAAAACCAAACCAACCCTGAGATTGCCTCCACCATCACTCAGCCAGTAAGTGGGAGAGTTGAGACTTGACTTCAAAGGTCACATTCCCTTTTGCTACTAAGTCCTTTCTAGTATGCTAAAGTCAAACTATATCAAGAGCCTACAAGAGAGATTTTTAGATGAGGCCAAGATAAACACCTTGAAACAGGAAGCCAGAATTACCATCTTTCATTTCCCATGATGCTTTTGCCACCTAAAACAAGATACGGGTATTACAGTGACGGCAGGTGACAGGACTGGTGATCCTGACAAAAATCTCCAAAATAAGGTTCTTTTCCCCTAAACTAAATCTTAGAATCTTTTGAGCTACATTTAAATCATGGAATTGCCCACTGTACTTTCATGTTGGTAAGAATGATTGTGCTTATAAACTCTTATTTTCTATAAACCAGATTAATGATTTTTTTATCCTAAGATACCTTAAAAAAAAAAAACAATAAACTAAGCACTGCCTTCACATGAGAGTTCAGATAATTATAACTTTCATTATAGTGAAGGTACTGATTATACTGAGATTACATTAATGAATTAACAAGAGCCTTAAGCCAGTTTTGACACTTAAGTATTAACGTTTTATTTCAAACACTTATGCTCATCCTTGTTAAAAAGTCTAACAAAATCTAAGGGGTTCCTTTAAAACATTTACCTACTTGTGATGGAGACACCGATAGGAATCAGCAAACCAGTTTATTTACTTACATAATATATCTTCCATGGAGACCTATTCGGCTTACCATTCTTCATAGCCCCAATACAAGCTCATAGAGCACCCTAGGGTTTCACTGATCATTACCTAATGGCACCTAAAAGCACCTATGCTTTTCTTGTTCCATGAATCAGTGAAAGTCTGCAGATCCTTCCAGCTCTAGAAGCAGTAATGTTTTTACCAAAATCAGCATTTTGCTTTATGGAAACATAGGCAACATCTGGTAGTGAAGAGGGCAGTAAGATTTGACAACCAAAATTGGCTGACAACTAAAAAAAGTGATTTCATCACTCTGCTTTGCAATGTGCTCTCCAGAAATCAATTACGATAAAAAAGCAGGAAATAAGTGTTAAAATTTTGCAACTCCTAAAAGGCTGGGAGGTAAGTTTAGCAGTTTATTAGGATTTATAAGTCATTTTAAAAACAGTCGATTTAAACCAAGTAGAAATAAGTATGCAAAAAGTCTGCAAAACAAAACATACTTTAAACATGTTTAAGTAGACAGATTATCTG